CCTAGCTTCAAGCAGTCCTCCTGCCTCAGCCCCCGCAAAGTGTTGGGATTACAGGTGTGAGCCACCACATCAGCTGAAAGACTCTTTTTAAAATATCAAAATGAACTGGATGTCTAAAGCAGACAGTAAGAAGGACTCTGATAAAGAGGGACTATGATAAAGATCGTGAGGCATAGAAATGCAGACATCATGTAGACAATCTTCTTTGGACTGTGAATTTACTGTAAAATCTGACATATTCAATCATGTGGTTTAATATGACATCCCATAGAAAATAGAGGATACTTTTTTTTGTCAGACAACAGAAGCAAAAGGCAGTTATTTAAAATTTCTCAGATTCTTTTTATTTCTAAATGGATAAGTGTGAATTTCCAGCCACATAGTGTTTCTTAGCTTCAGTTACTCTGTTGCTGTGAAACACCCCAAATCGGGTGGTAACAAGAGGCTACAAAGGCTAGAACGTGTAACTGCCTGGAGACATCCATTTGGAGGATGTGAGAGTTAAAAGGGAACAGAATCAGGCCTATTTTTAATAGCCTGTCTGGTTCATCCATTATTTTGGTGTGGGGGACGGTATAAATCTCAGCTGTACTCTGTTTCCAGTAGGTAGGACACGGAAGATAACCAGTTCTCGGGGGTAGTAATTACTACTCACTGGCTTCCTGAGCAGCTTGATAATGTTCTGCTCCTGTTTTCAGCCTCACTGTGGCCAAGGCAATAATTTGATAATAAGAGATCCTGATTAAATTAAGGAGCCATTTGCTTCTGGATGATGATGTTGATAAAAGGGTTGATGTCCACACTGCCTGCTCTTTCAAAGGTCAAAAAACAGTCTTGAAGTAAAAACTGCAACAAGCAAAATAATCGGAAGTAGCTTAGTTTGTGTTTTCATTTCCTTTGTTGTTGCATCTGGGAAAGTGTTCATTGCAGAAATCGTCACTGGCTCCTTTTGCCTCACATCTGGAGGAGGTGAAATTGGAAGTGTCACATTGGAAAGGTGCCTGCCTGTACAATGAGTCTGTAAGCTGCGAAACTCTGTAAATTGCAATCAAGCACTTCGGAGATTTCGGTCACCTAAGCTTGGTTCTCACACACGTGCATGCTTGCATTTGCATGTTTTTTAAGACAACAGCTTTTGTTTTATTTGGGCGGTCATAAGTGACCACTGGTGCAGTGGTTCTTCTGGTGCCCAGACTCGGAGGAGATGGGACTGCTCTCCATGTGTCAGAAACGAAACTACTGGCACTCTAACCCCTTACAGTATTGAGAAAAACACAAGACAAGAAGGGGCTTGAAATACCCACTAGTGTACCACCTGCTCAGCCCATCTAGGTCTGTGAAACCACAGCTGAGCCGTGTGGGCTGTGGTGGTGAGGGCGGAGGGCGGGCAGGGTTGCCAGCGCCCCGCCTGGGCTGGGAACGCCTGTGCGCAGCTCCCTGAGAGCTCAGGGACCACGCGGAGGTTGTAATTGGTCTCTAGACCACACCTAGTTGTTGAGTGCCGCTGCTTGAAAATCTTAGCTCTGCTGAGATCGCGGAGTACACACAAGCTACCTTTGGGCACCAGAGCAGACAGGGGACCGCGGAGCTTCTGGGTGGAACAGTCTGGAAACTTTGCCAAGTAAGTGAGATGGGAGAGAGGGAAGCCAGTGCCTGGCACTACGGGGAGTGGCTGGGCAGGTCAGCAGTGGCAGTGCGGTAGGGTTCCTACTGTCTGATGAGCTGGTGTGGGGTTCTTACTGTCTGATGCCGTCTCTGGTGGAAGTTAGCAGCGCGGGGGCAGATGCAGAGAGCACGGTAGGGGAGGCGAGCCCAGGATCGGATTGATGCCCACCCACCACCTGGCACCCTGCAGTCCTGGCTGACCAGGAGACAAGCTGGACCACAAAGCAAAGATCCTCCAACTCTGCTGCTGGCAAGCCTTGGGGCCAGGGAACTCACAGAAGGGCAGGTCTGGGCCTGTGCCTTCCTCCTGCCCACACGGGTCTCTCTCCCCTTCCCCTTCCAGCCAGGGCCGCCGCTGGGGCTGCAGCTTGAGTGACGGGAAAAGAAAGCTTTACTCTACCAGCCTATTAGCGGCACAAACAGCATTAAAAATGCAGGAGGTGGTGGGAAGAGAGGGCCGGGAGGAAGACTCGTGCAGCAGCGAGGCGCGGGGAAGAGCCGGGTTCTGCCTCCTCAGCCTAGATCAGAGCCGAAGAACGAGGGCAGTTTGGGTTGAGAAGGAGTCTCCAGTGTAACCAAGAAGCAAGCGTCCAGGAGGCTGCTGGGGAGGCTGGTACTGTGGGCTTCCCTAGCCTTCGTTTGCTGTTTCGAGGGCCAGGACCTCGTGTGTTCCCGTCCGCCCCTCTGGACGGCGCCAGCCCTGCAAGCTGCCGACCGTCCTGGGGCTCCTGCGCAGCGCGATGCCGGCCTCGTCCACCGTCCACGTGCTGCAGCTGCTGCGGGAGCTGCTCGCCTTCGTGCTCCTCAGCTACACGGTGCTCATCGGGGCGCTGCTGCTGGCCGGCTGGACCACCTACTTCCTGGTGCTGAAGTGACAGCGCCGCCGCCGCGCCCCGCCCCTCCCCTCGCCGGACCCAACTCACCGCGGAACTCCCCTCAAGTCCGGGCCAGAGCCGAGGCCCCGCCCACCCCCAAGCGCCGCGGCGCCCTACTCAGCTCTGCGCCCTCAGGCCCTGCGTATGCCCCGCCCCGCGCGGAAGCACCGGCAGTTGGTTGTCTGGCGCGGCCGTTACGACCGTTGCCCTAAACCCCGCCCTCTCCCTCCCCATCTGCCCTATCCCGACTACTTCCTTGGGTGGGGGCGTGGCCATGGGGCGAGGCTCTCTCAGGTGGAGGCCGGGCCCCGCCCCGCGCTCGCGAAGCTACGTCACCTCCGGCGTGTGCGTCCGGCGTCCGCCCGCCACGGGATGGCGGCTCTGAGGAGTTGGCTGTCGCGCAGCGTAACCTCGCTGTTCAGGTACCGCTGCAGCCGCGTAGCGGGGGCAGAACCAGAGGGAGGGACCGACGTGGATAGCGCTGAGGCCCGGCCCACGGCACTCGCTTTGCTTACATGCTCATCCCTCTTCGGCCGAGCCGGGCCGCGGCGTCTCTCCTTAGTCGGGATGACTGAGAACCGTCCTGCCTTGGCCCCCTGGGTCAAGCCCGGCTTCCTTTCTTTTGAGTTCGTCCATTTTCTAGAAGCGAGTCTCTCAGGCTGCCTTCATGGGGCCTCTCTGCCTCCCGGCCAGCTCGCATCGGCCCCTCGAAGTCCCTGAGGAGACTTGGAGAGGAGGAGGGACACGGCGTGGGGGAGCCAGGGAAGAGAAGGGAGCGTCCGAGGACGTCCTCCCAGAGGGCAGAAGGGGCCTGGGGAACTGATGCGGGGGACCTCGGCTCGGGGCTTACCTCCTAGCGCTGCAGGCTCCTGGGCGTTTGTAGCGGGACCGTCAGACACACCTGGTACCCAGGCCAGGGGTGCAGAGCTAAATCCTGCCTGCAGGAGCGTTTATTGTAGAAAGCTTTAAGGCGACATTTTATTTTATTTTTTGAGTCAGGATCTGGCTCTGTCGTCCACGCTGGAGTGCTTGGCCAGATCGCAGCTCACTACAACCTCCGCCTCCCCGGTTCAAGCTATTCTCCTCTCCTGTCTCAGCCTCCCGAGCAGTTGGGATTACAGGAGCTCCCCACCATCCCCGGCTGATTTTTGTAATAGTAGAGACGAGGTTTAACCATGTTGATCAGGCTGGTCTGGAATTCCTGACTTGAGATGATCCACCCGCCTTGGCCTCTCAAAGCTCTGGGATTACAGGCGTGAGCCATCGTGCCCAGCCTTTTTTTTTTTTTTATTTTTTGTTTTTTTTGACGTTGTCCTGCTGTGTCACCAGGCTGGAATGAAGTAGTGCTATCTCAACTCACTGAAACCTCCACCTCCCAGGTTTTTTTTTTTTTTGCCAGCCATATTTCGCAGTCTGGTCTTGAACTCCTGAGCTCAAGCAATCCTCTTCCAAGTGCTGGGATTACAGGCGTGAGCCACCATGCCCTACCTTAGGCAACATTTTAAACTTAAGTGTTGTCTTTTGAAAATTTCAAAACCCCTCGCCGGTTTCCTGCTTGTGATGGTTGGCCTGGCCCCCCAGGCCGTCACGCCCCACTGTCCCCCCCCTGGCCCACTTGCACTGTGCCCTGTCATCAGGAAGGCTGTCCCACATCCTCATTTAGGTTCCTGCTTGGCCCGAGTTTGAGGTTTGTAGCCCCTGCAAATAAATCCAAGAGCCTGTTACAGATTGGCAGTTGTGCCTTATGAAATCTGACTTCTATTTCCAGGTACAGACAGTGTGTTCCTGTCGTGGCTAACTTTAAGAAGCGTTGTTTCTCAGAATTGATAAGGCCATGGCACAAAACGGTGGCAGTTGGCTTTGGAGTAACCCTGTGTGCGGTTCCTATTGCACAGGTAAAGTACTGCCCCGTGCAGTGTTTCTTATCTTAGTGTACCGTGTTCTCTCGAAGTCTCAAGTGGGCAGTGAAGCGTCAGATAAGCTACCATTGTTTTTACCCAGTGTGCCCATCCCTTCCCCCACATGATGATATACTTTGTATGACACCAGGATCTTTTCACAGTTGAGTAGATGTATTAATATTCTCATTTTGATTGTCTCATTTGGTAGTGTTATGTATAACATTTTTCTTTTTGGTACCACAAAGAAAAATTAGTACTAGGACAAAGGATCTCTCAGCAAAGCAATTCTTTTTACTTCATGCAGAAAGGGTACTCCCATTAGATTGCTAATGGCAATAGATTGCTACCCCTTGCACGATGACTAGCAAGGGTACCCTTCCTGTAGTCCAGGAAGTAAAAATTTCGTTGCTAAACGATCCTTTGTCTTGGTGCTGATTTTTATTTGCGGCACCAAGCATCTATTTCCAACAGGTAGGAACAGCACATCAAATTATATAAAGGGGATAGAGGGAAATAAGAGTTAGACTAGGCATGGTGGCTCATGCCTGTAATCCCAGCACTTTGGGAGGCGGAGGAGGGTGGATCACGATGTCAAGAGATCAAGACCATCCTGGATAACATGGTGAAATCCCATCTCTACTAAAAGTACAAAAAATTAGCTGGGTGGCCGGGCACGGTGGCTCAAGCCTGTAATCCCAGCACTTTGGGAGGCCGAGGCGGGTGGATCACGAGGTCAAGAGATCGAGACCATCCTGGTCAACATGGTGAAACCCCGTCTCTATTAA